TGACCATGCAGGAGCCACTGCTAAGAGCCGAGGGTCTGGACTATGACACCTTCCCCGAGGCGCCCGCGTCGCAGAGAGAGAGGTCGCGGGCCGGGTGAGAGTCACAGGGCATGGGTGGGTGGGAGGTTGGTATGGCCTTATCTCCAGCAGACTGTCGGCACACATCTTGGGCCGCCACTGACTTCTGGTGAGTGGCCACCAAGAGTCATCTGGCTCTTTCTTGACCAAGTCCTATTTAAAGAACTGGTCCACTATAAGAAAGAGATCCTCTAAAGGAATATTGGGTGGGGTCATCTACGATAACAGTGCAGACTTCGAGCAGCACAGCAGGAAGCAGAGCCCAGGATTCCTTTTGGATTCCTTTTCTGGAGAAAAAGGGCCCCATTCCCAGGTGACACCTTGAGAATTTCCCAGAGCCGCTGCTCAGGCCTCAAGGAAGTACCAACTTGACTGTCCCTGGATCCAGGCTTCTCCCTGCTATTTGCTGAACTGGATGGCCACTGGGCTCAGGGAAGGCAGTAGTCTCTGGGAAACCAGGATCCAGTTAGAGGACTTGACCCTGGTCCTCTGATTCCACCCCATCCCCTACCAGGGCCTTGCAAAACAGAAGGGTGTTCCTGGCCACCTTTGCTGCTGTGCTGGGCAATTTCAGCTTTGGGTATGCCCTGGTCTACACGTCCCCAGTCATCCCTGCGCTGAAGCTCTCTTCTGACCCAGCACTACACCTGAACAAAGTCCAGGCATCCTGGTTTGGGGTGAGGCCTGTTCTCTAAGCCAGATGGGGTAGTAGGGGGAGCATGGACCCACTCAGCCTGTTTACCACAGAGAACTAAAATCACTCAGCCTTTGCACCTCCCTAAGAGCCCCAGTACCCCACCCTCACACACTCCTGTCTGCTAGTATGATGGCAAGACCGATGAGGAAGTGACATCCTGCTGAGATGTGGGGAGGGGCTGATGGGAAGATTTCCCAACTGCATACCCAAAGCCAGGCTGCCACAGCAGAGCTGACGTCCTCCTGGGTATCTAGAGACAGGAATACAGGGGCCAGAGGGATGAGAGGTGTCATCTGGAGGACAGAGTGTGGCTAAATAGAGAAGAGCCCAGGATCCCAAGACTGTAGTATTAGAATATCAGTAGACCCTGAGGTAGAACTGCAACTTGAAAACCAAGCTGGAAAGATTTAGGGTTTCCTGAGCATTACAAATATGGTGGCCATGTGCAGGGCACACACAGCACATGCCAGATACTTTGTGAGCCATTTCCACTCCTGGGGTCAACCTATGCCCCCCCCCAGTTACATAGCTAGGAAACTGAGGTTTAGACAAGTCAAGCTGTGAGTTACAAGTCAAACTCACAAGTTACAGGAGTGCAGGAAAATCCCTCATTCTACAGTAACTCCAATGACTCCCAAATCTTAAGGCCCTGGGTCTTCAAGTCACAGAGTTCTCTTGGGTAGAATGGGAGCCACGGAGAATGTCTTTAATCTCAGCACTTGGGAGGTGGAGGCAGGATGATCATGTTTTTGAGTTGTGCTTGGGCTCAGAAAAATATTGGATACTCCCGGACAGAGCCACAGTAGACAGGTGGTCCTATTGCACCTGTAGAGCAGAACAGTAATCATGGCACCCTCACATATTGTTGTCCGCAGGCTGCTGTGCACTTCTACAGACAGGGAGGCTCTCTACCAATGAATGCCTGACTTCTGGGTCAGCCCTGGGGAACTATCCTGGGCTCTTGATGGGGGTGAGACGCTTAAGGCCACTGTGTCTTCTTGCACCCCTGCAGTCCGTGTTCACCTTGGGTGCGGCAGCTGGGGGCCTCAGTGCTATGGTTCTCAATGACCTCCTGGGCCGGAAGCTCAGCATCATGTTCTCAGCTGTCCCCTCAGTCATTGGCTATGCACTCATGGCTGGTGCCCATGGTCTCTGGATGCTCCTGCTGGGGAGGATGCTGACAGGCTTTGCCGGGGGACTCACTGCTGCCTGCATCCCGGTAAGGCCAGGTGTCTCCACTGCCTCGAGGCTGTTGTGGGCCACCCCTGCCTCAGCCTTTGCTCAGTGAGAGTGTGAGGGGTCCCCTACATTGCCCAGGAAACCTCAGCTCCTTCTGCCAAAGAAGCTGACATCAAGAGCTGGGTGCTTCTGTATACTTTTCTGCTAGGGAAGGTCAGATCTATGACCTGCCAACTTTTCCTAGCTCCCAGGCCCCTTTCTCACCCAGGTGGGCCCAGAAGCATGCATTCCCACTAAAGTCCCAAGTGGGGGCATGTGCCTTGCAGGTGTATGTGTCTGAGATTGCACCCCCTGGTGTTCGTGGGGCCTTGGGGGCCACACCGCAGCTCATGGCCGTGTTTGGATCCCTGTCTCTCTATGCTCTTGGCAAGTACCATCCTGCAATCCAGCATGAAGTTTCTGGAGATGGGGGGAATGGGACTCTCCCTGAAGGAACCCAGCACTGATAGGCAGGACACCTGGCTTCCTAGCTCCCATGGGTACCACTTCTCTGAGCAGTGAGGCCTGCTCTGCAGCAAGAGCCTCAGATTACCTTCCCACAGCACTGAGGTTGCCTAGTATCCTGTCAGTTCATGACAGAAGCCCATACAGAAGCTTGCCTGCCTGAGTGAAAAGGACAAGAGCCCTATGCCCAGCCTGCCCTACTCTCTCCCATTATATTTAAGGATCTCACTCTTGTGCCAGGGTCCAGGCAATCCCTGCAGCCCCTCATTGCCTCTACTACAGAAACTTGGGCAACCAAGGGAGGCTAGGCTGGGAGAGCAGTGTGGTTATTCAGAGGCCCCAGCCCCTCACCAAAGCCTCTCTCACCAGGTCTTTTGCTGCCTTGGAGATGGCTTGCTGTGGCCGGGGAGGGGCCTGTTCTCATCATGATCCTGCTGCTTAGCTTCATGCCCAACTCGCCTCGCTTCCTGCTCTCAAAGGGCCGGGATGAGGAGGCACTGCAGGCACTGACCTGGCTTCGAGCTGACTCTGAGGTCCATTGGGAGTTCGAGCAGATCCAGGACAACGTGCGGAGACAGGTGCAACACGGGTGGGACCACAGGGCCCTATGTGGCTCTGGACATTCACTAGGCCTCCTTGGGCCTTGGTTGCCTTTCCTCAAACAAGAATGGTTCTTGCTAGTGGGCAGAGCCCAGGCAGCCTCTGGTGGCTGGGTCTCTCTTGGAAGAGGGGAGGAGATCTCCCTTAGACCCACAGGTGCCAAGACAGGGTGGCCAGGGCTGGAGAGCCTGGCATAGCCCCTCAGCAGCAGCTTTGTGTTCCAGAGTAGCCGAGTGTCATGGGCGGAGGCCCGAGACCCCCGTGTGTACCGGCCTATTCTCATCGCAGTACTGATGCGCTTTCTGCAGCAGCTGACAGGCATCACACCCATCCTCGTGTACCTGCAAACCATCTTTGACAACACATCTGTGGTGCTGGTGAGAACCCACCTGGCCAATACTGCCCAGAGACCCACGAGATGGCTGAGGAGAATACAAGCAGGACAGCCAGGGAGTTAGGTGGCTGAGACCTGGACGCCTCTGAGTCACAGCCTGCCTCAATTACATTTTCCTTGAGTGAAGCTTAAGTGTTTGAAAATATACAGAATAACACAATAATTTAATAGAATGTGGAACTTTTGGGAACCATGGCCCCAGGCTCAGATCCCAGGCAGGGCCTGTGAGGTCGCTAAGAGCCCAGTTCCACCCCCAGGTTCTTCCTGCAACGAGGTTTAAAGATGAGGATGACTCAGAGCTGCCCACTGTGCCCACTAGGATTAGTAGTAGACATGGAGATAGGCCTATGTTGGGAAACCCCCCAGTAAAGGGTTGGGTGCAGAGAAAGTATCTAGGGGCTGGGTACTTGGGATGGCTCATAGCAAAAGAAAGGACAGTGACCCTGGACTTAGGTCTGAGTACCCTGAAATGCATTAGAGTCAAGGTAGGACACAGAACACCAGGCCAGGTCTCTCAGCCCAATGCCCTGCCCCACAGCCCTCTCAGCAGGATGCAGCCATAGTGGGTGCTGTGAGGCTTGTGTCTGTGCTGATTGCTGCTGTCACCATGGACCTAGCTGGCCGTAAAGTTCTGCTCTATGTGTCAGGTGAGTGTCCCCAATCTGATGTGTGCCTCTTACAGCAACTGTGTGGATGGCAGTCTTTGAGCCACACCCAAGCTTCCCTGGCACGTGGTCCAGGACCTAACAAATGGCAGCTGCTCAGACAGGTCTGCTAGGGCTACAAGAGCAAAGGAGCCCACCCACCTAGCTCAGGGGTGTGGCAAGACCTTGAACTTGGCATTCTGTGTTCACAAGCCAGCCTTGCCACCCTGCATGGGGTGTTAATGGAGCTTGGAAAGGGCCTCAAGCTTGAAGTATCTTGGTCCTGAGGTACCCATGTGTCCACAGCATCCATCATGCTTGTTGCCAACCTGACATTGGGGCTGTACGTCCAGTTTGGCCCAAGGCCTCTGACCCCCAACAGCACTGTGGGACTGGAGATCATGACTCCGGGGAACACAGAGCAACCCCCAACTACATCCTTCGATTACCTCACTCTGATACCCCTGCTGGCCACCATGCTCTTCATTATGGGTAGGAGCACCCTGACAGTGGGGACACCTGGGGTGGGCTGTTGGGGGGCACAAGGGATCTACTATCGTCCTGGTTTGCCTAAGGGGTCAGGGAGCTGGAGGATAGGGCCTCCTTATAACCCAGGAGACACAGGCAAGGCAGCTTGAAGGTGCCCAGGCCTAAGCCCAGCTGTTCCCCTCTTCCGGGCAGGCTATGCCATGGGCTGGGGGCCCATCACCTGGCTCCTCATGTCTGAAGTTCTGCCCCTGCGTGCCCGCGGTGTTGCCTCGGGGCTCTGTGTGCTGGTCAGCTGGCTTACAGCCTTCGTCCTCACAAAGTACTTCCTGCTGGCAGTGGTGAGTGTTTGGCCCTGGGACTCACAGCTAGGTTTCTCCATTAGCAGTCTCCCTTCTGCAACTCCTAGAGAGGAGCACAGGCCCTTTACAGGCTAAGAATGGCTAAGATAGCACAGCCAAGGCCATTACAAGAAACAGGAACACACTGAGGAGTTGTTTGGGGGAGTCAGGTTACCTCCCAGTCCAAGGACACAACCCAGATCAGCTGCACTGTCTCTTGACCTACTGGATGCTAGGCTTCTCCAGCGTAACTCTGCTGACTACAGCATGGTGTGAGGTCTCTCCTAAATATACCTAGCTCCTAGCTCTGCAAGGGAGCAGGTCCTAAAAACACCTGAATGCTGGCCGGCTCCAGACTCTACCAGGGGAATCCAGCTGGGTCAGCACAAGCCAGAACCTGCCCTCTACACTCAAGTGATTGAGGTTAAGAGGATGGCTGATACAGCATGCCGCCCACCAGGCCCTGAAGGCAGCCTGGGGCTTGGGTGTGGTACCTAAGAGAGTGGAGTCTCCAGGCAGGATGGCCGAGGGGCAGCTTGGGAATAGTAGGGAAAGCTGGGAGGTTGCAGAGCAGTGGCCAGATGAATGCCCCACAGGCTGCCAGTACTGACTGAGCCCATGAAATTCTGGCTGGGGGCTGTGTCTGCTCAGTGACTCCCTCCCCAACTCCCCACTGCAGAATGCCTTCGGCCTCCAGGTGCCTTTCTTCTTCTTCTCGGCCATCTGCCTGCTCAGCCTGCTCTTCACAGGCTGCTGTGTGCCTGAGACCAGGGGCCGCTCGCTGGAGCAGATCGAGGCCTTCTTCCACACCCGCAGGATGTCCTTCAGGCCCTAGTCAGGGGCTTGCCTGTAAGGGGCCAAACCACCCAGGCCAGGCCAATGCACTGGCCACAGATTCACACCTGCAACCAGGAGCAGCAACATCCCTGCCATCAGCCAGAATGCAGGACAAGCCAGAACACACTTGTACCAGTTCACCAACTATGGGCTGGTAGGCCCCAGCTCAGGCAGCCCGAAGTGCCATAATACCTCAGCTGAGACCTGCAGGGAAGCAGGCAGCCCAGCCCCAGACTGAGCAAAGGCTGTGCCCCAAAACAAGGCTGCCATGGGACTTGGGGATTAGTTCCTCATTCCTACAAGGGACACTTCTCATGCAGGGCCATATTGAGGACAGAGAACAGGGATGGAGGTGGCAAAGTGGCTCTGTACAGGGACACCATCACATCATGCTGTTCTGATCAGTTGGCCATGGAAGGAGAGGGTCCAGCACCCACGAGGATCTGGGTACCTTGGGGAACACTGGACTTCCAAAGGCCAGACTATATGACCCATTCCAATCGTGGGATACCTCTAGTCTGCAAACTGTTGTTTTATCAAAATAAAGGAATTGGGCCTGCAGCCTCAGGGAGAAAAGGGGAGTGAGCTCTATTCCAGGGAGAAGCTCCCTTCCCCAGCGGCCAGGCTACCCTCAAACTCAGTCTAGACTGCCAGGCACTCTGTTATCATAGTGCAGAGAAAGCAGCAGCCGCCATGGGGTTGAATGTCAGCTCACCCTCTATGGATAGGCAACTTTCTTTGAGACCCTGTGAGCAGGCCCAGGCCAGGCGTGGCCCAGCTGGCATAGATGGGGTCTCCTTGCCAGTCACAGGCACTGAAGACAGAAGGTGACAGACTGTGCATTCCAACTACAGCCTTGCTTTACTCCAAATGTAACCTAAGCAACAAACAAACCAGGGGGTGAGTGGCAGAGGGAGCCACAGAAAACAACCAGACACAGGCAAGAATGGGGCCTAGTGTGGGCTATACTGTGCCCATGCTCAGAGGCAAGGCAAGGGGCTCCAGACCCAATGTGCTTCCAAGAACCTCAGGATGTAAGTGACTGTCCACTGTGGTCATGTCTGACGGCCTCTCTACCTTTACACCCCATCCCATGTCTGTGCAATACAAAATGGATTTCCCTAGTGGGGTACAGTTTTACTATAGATGTAGCCAGTGAGTTCCACTGCTAGGGGCAGAAGTGACCTGAATCTTATGTCTATATGTGTAACCAGAGGGGCAGGTAGGGCCTTGGCTCCTCCTGGAAGGTAGACAGGTCTTACTGTGAATACAGGCCCTGGTATACACAAACATACATACATATGCAGAGCCCTTGAAGCCCATTCCTGGCTTAAGAAAAACAGCCTCAGATGAACCCTGAAGACATATGTCCCACCAAGCCAGATACACTGTGACATCTCTGTTTTCTCTGGAAAACTGCTGCTTTCCCCAGAGCCCAAAGATCAAAGAATCTCTATCCCAATAGAACACCCACTACCTCTGGCCCCAAACACTGGTGAGCTAACGATCCCCTAGAAGGTCAACAACTGTGGGGCTGGGTCCCATGGAGCAGGCCCAGCTGAAGGTCTTGCACAGGAGGAAGGCAAGACTTAGCATTTTCCACATCATCCTTAGCCAGGCCACCAAACATGTGTCTAATGGCTGAGGTCCCATCTAATCAGCCACTAGTGTCAGTAGTGGCTGACACTAGGGTCAGGGCAGTAGAAAAAAACAGCAGTACAGAGGAAGGATGGTGGATACCCAGGGTATGTCCAGGAGGGCCAGATCCAAGGTAGTAGCTCTTCATTCCCTAGCCATGCAGCTTGTCAGTGGTCTGGTACCTGAGACAGGGCCAGCTCTGTGTGAGAGGTGGCTCTAGTCTCTGCCCAGCATTTCAAAGGCTACAGGATGCCAGGGGCAGGTTGGGAGGAATACCTGAGGTCAATCCCTACTAATAGTGAGCCTGCCTTCACTGACAAAGAGGTTCTCACTGCAGGCTGTCAGGAGCACACACCCCCAACACACACCATACACACAAACACACACTTCCTAGCACCGAAGCCTGAACTGGAGGAGGGGTAGAACCCATAGGAGATGGAACAGCAAGGTGTCCTGAAATAGCTCGTCCAAGTCTGCTCTTCTGGCCAGGAAGCTGCATCCTGGAGTACAGTAGATTCTCAAAGCCCAGCCATCTCTCCTGCTCCTGGCAGCAGTAGCTGGTCTCAGGACACTGCTGTACTCGTCCTCTGCTCTGAGGACAGGTGCATGGGGCAGAACTGAAGCCTCACCTGCCAGCAAGCTTGAACCTAAAAAGGATGAAGCCTGAAGTGGCTGGAGCCTGGGTGATCAGCCTCTTAACCAATTGAGGGCCAGTGTGTTCAGGAGTGGCTGCTCTTAGGTCTGAGATGGATAACTAGCACAGGAATCTGCATCATAGGCTGACAGGAGTAAGTTCATCCCTATGGCCCAGATCTTCGGTATCAGTTGGGCAGGATCTCCAGGCTCAGTAGTCCAGAGATCAGGATAGGCACAGGAAGACTTGAGGCATGGTAACCTGCAGGGACTCCTCTCCAGGCCATTTAGCAGAGTTGACACTCAGCCATCTCCAGACTTCACACAGAACCAAATGGCAGTAGAACTCAATGAGGGTAGGCCACCCCGCCTCACCTCACAGCTCTCCCTCCAGAGTATCAGCCAGCTTCTCTTCATCTGCCTGTTGCCTCTGCTGCTGGATTCGAGCATAAGAAATGGCATCCCCCCTAGGGAGAGAAAAGTAGGTGTTCCATAGGCACAGCCCTCCCATTGCCAACTCCCAGTTTACAACCCAGATATGACCTGCAGGAATATTGCCCTAGAACTCTGCTCCCCAGAGGCCACTGTCAAAGGGACAGAGGCCTTGTTACTCTGAGAGGGGCACATGTTGCCTGGCACTGAACTGACTGAGCTGACGGGGAGAGGTGGCAGCTGGCTACAATGTCTGGTGCACACCTCATGGTGTGCAACCCGGGCAAGAGGGGCCATCTAGGTTGTCCCCTGAGTTCTTGCCTCTGTTTCTGACAGCATGGGTAAGTCACTCGTGACCACTGTGCATAACTAGACAAGGGGTCCCACTCAGACCTTTCCCACTTGAGATGGGGAAGCAGGGGCAGCAAAGGAGGCCCCACCCTGGGGCTGGGCTGCAGACGCACTTTTTGCCCAGGGCAGACAGTCCGTACAGCACCCCAGTGGCAAAGGCGATGGCGTTGCCCAGCAGCGTGGTCAGGGTCAGGCTCATGACGATGGGGACAATGGCCATCCTAGGAGAGAACAGAGGTCAAGGGTGCACCCTATCGCATGTGTTGCCCCCGTGTGGTCCTCAAACATCCCTTCTGGAGACAGAGTTTAAAACCATATCAGGTCTTTGTGGCAAGATCTGTGACCCGCAAAGGGTTAACCAGCAGAGAGCTGGATATATGACCCCACTATTCATTAAAACAGAGAGGCTGGGCTCAGAGGATCGGGGGTATAGTCCATCTATACAGTCATGTGACCAAGTTGCTTCTCAAGGCTCCATCTCCACTATATAGTGGGATCCAACCTGAGATCCTGATGTCAAGGTGAGGACTGCTGGCCACTTATCCCACACCCACATCACAAGCACTGTGAACATTCTCATCAGTACAGCAACCCCACCCCCACCCCCATCCCATCCAGCTCACACCCAAGGCAACACTGGACCCAATGCAGCTCTAGCTAGGGCTTCAGTAGCAGGCTGGCGCCATCTGGTGGAGGGCCATCCCACCTAAGACCCTCTGCAGTTCAGTCTTGAGGGGTGGGATTTTCCAACATGAGGTGAATCCCAGACAGGCTGACCTAGGAAGATTCTGGAACCTGCAGTCCAGCCCTCAGTCCAGTCACTTCTGGAGAAGAGGCACCCAGAGCAGGAAGATGACACTCAGAGCCAACTGCACTCCTTGGATTTCTGATGTAGATTTCATTATAGCAGAAGTGCTTCAAAGTGCGGAGGGTTCTTGACTTAAATGGTGTGTTGTGGTACTCAGCAGACATTGACTAGAGTTCTGAGTCCCAAGTTCTGCAGGCCACCTTATGAGGTGCTGTACCAAGTCACAATGCCCAGCATCAGGGATTTAAGCCTGGTGAAGGTTGGCGGTAGCTGTGTTTGGTAGGTGAGGTGTGCTATCTGCTTTATCTAAATGGAAACCCATCTCACATTGAGGATCTTCTATGATAAAATAATAGAAATCTTGAGGGAAAAGACCACAGCAGAAAAACCATTAACATTAAAGGTAAATAGGCTGAAAAACAACAGAATGGGAAACACAGCAGAGGAATGTGAGGTCTTTAATAGTGAAAACACACAGCCTGCAAAGTCAAACATTAAAGCTCTCAAAGGAGCAGACCAGGAACCAGTAACCTTTTGAAAAAGAAAACAAACGTGGATATACAGGAAGGCGTTTGACTTCTTAGACAATGACTGTAAGTGTGAAAGCAGCACTAGGCACTGGGTGGGGAGGGGAGGGATACCCAAATGGCCTCTCTAGAAAGGAGCTGAGCTATAAGACCTTTTGAATGACCATAACCTTTGATCTGGTAATTCCACACCTGGAAACATCTCCTAAGGATGGCATCATGGTAGCTTTAGCAGACAGATGTTCACCAGACCTGATTGACATTAGCTAACAAATTAAGACAAAGGAAGTATGTCCAGCTGATTAAATGTGTTTAACATTAAAAGGAATGGGACTGGAGAGATGGCTCAGTGGTTAGGAGCACTGTCTGCTCTTCCAGTGGTCCTAAGTTCAATTCCCAGCAACCACATGGTGGCTCACAGCCATCTGTAATAAGAACGGTGCCCTCTTCTGGCGTGCAGTCATATATGCAGGAGGAACACTATGCATAATAAATAAATCTTCAAAGAAAAAAAAGAGAAAAGAACTGTTTTTTAAAAACAAAACATTAAAAGGAATGCCATAGTCTTTCTGGTAATACTGAAAATGATACCACAGCAAGTCAAAAAAGCAGGTTCAAACTTTATAAGCAGGTTTGGCAGTTATAAGCATGTTAAAGATGAGCTTCAAAGTGTCTGGACTCAGACTGGAGAGACATATGCCAAAAACATGAATAGGTAGTGAGGTCTGGAGTGATCATTTTCTACTTTACAAATGACTTTACTGTCAGCATCATGATGATACATCTTAAAAACTCAAAGAAAGCCAGGTATGGTGACTCACGCCTTTAATCCCAGCACTCAGGCGGCAGAGACAGATGAATCTCTGTGAGCTTAAGGCCATCCAGATCTACAAAATGAGCGCATTTCAAATACAAAAGGGGAAAAAGGAAGGGATGAGGACATGGCTTAGTTGGGAAGGTGCCTGCTGCACATTCCTGAGAGCCTGTTTGGATCCCCATAAAAACCCAAGTACATCGGGGCTGGTGAGGTAGAGACAGGTGGATTCCTAAGAGCTCACTGGCCAGGCAGTCCAGCCAAATTGATGAGCTCCAGGTTCAGTGAGAGACCCTATCTTTAAAAACAAATGGAAGTTATCTGAGGGAAATACCTGATGTCCAAATCTGGCTTCCACATTCATGTGCACCCACATACATGTTCGCATGCACATGTTCGCATGTGTGCATACACACAAAACATGCTACACTGACTGATTAGAACTTTGTGATCCTGTAAGCCCGTTGGACTCAGACACATCAGAAAACTGCCAGCAAGCACATGACAGACTCTTGTATATTTTCACTGATGAAGCTGCTGAGCCTCCACCAAGCTTTGATATAACCTGATCTTAAAGATAAATTGTGATAAATATCATTGCCTAGATGAGTTCTCGTGCAAAAGCCCTTCTCTAGAGGCTTCTGTGTATTCAATTTATCTTGGAAGTGACGCAGTCTTATGACACACTGAACTTGTCAGAACCAGAAGGAGAAAAAGCATATTTAGAGGAAAATGGTGTTTTCTGTTCTGCAAGCTCATGTCTGGGCATCTAGGTTGGCCACACTCCTTTCAAGGCTGCACAATGTCCACACAGATGTACTACAACCTGTCTGGCAAATCCCAGCTGCTTCCCTGTTCCCCTACACACATACTGCTGCAGACACTACAGATCTTAAAACACTTGTATAGCCGTAGCTGCCATCTGAGCTCCAGAAGGCAGATATTGGGTCCCATTCTTTAGCAACTGATGTTGGATGGGCCAGTGGCTGTGTCCACAGCTGTCAAATAAAAATTTCTGCAGGAGCTGGGCGTTGGTGGCGCACGCCTTTAATCCCAGCACTCGGGAGGCAGAAGCAGGCAGATCTCTGTGAGTTTGAGACCACCCTGGTCTACAAGAGCTAGTTCCAGGATAGGTTCCAAAGCTACACAGAGAAATCCCATCTCAAAAAAACAAAAACCAAAAACAACAACAACAAAAAACTTCTGCAGGAAAGAAAGACCTCTACCTGTTTCTGCCCCACCCACCCTACCAATACCTGCTTTAACCAGTAAAAGTTTGGAGAACCATGCCATAGGGCTGGCCCAGCAGCCCTCACCCGCAGTAGAAAACAGCTTTCTGCCAGGAGCGTAGCCGGTCCACCTTCTCAGCTACTGTATTTGCAAACTCCACGAACTGGCAGCAGAAGGGCGCCTCGCATAACAATAGGATGAAGGCGTTCATGCTACAGGGCAAAGGCAGAAAGGACAATGATAGTTGACAACCTGGGGCTGCAAAAGCCATCATGCTAGTGGCTCAAGGAACACCACCCTCCCACAGGCCCTCTGCTTCTGT